TCCTGAGGCAGAAGAATAAACTAAATGATGATTCAGGGCCCTTCCCAGGCTTTTGGTGGAGGTGGCCTTAGGGAGAGTGGGGTTTACTGCAAGCTCTTTCTACCTGACCGCTGACTGCCAAGTTGCCCCTAGTTTACCTGGACAGGGATCTGATGGCCAGGCCCAGGGTGACCTCGCTATTCATAGGCACATGGACTCCATCACTTACCCTTGTCTGCTTTTTTTCAAGGTCAATTTCTTCATCTTCCTGAAAATTCTCAAGCTTCTCATTTCTAAGCTCAAAGCCCATCAAATGTGCTTCAAAGATTATAGATACAGGTGAGTAGCCGAAGGTCTGTATCTAGTAGTCTAAGACTGTTGTGACCTCTCTGGCTGTTCTGGCCAATGCCTGGGGTGTGTGGGAGGGAATGAGTTACATTAGTATGTTTATCTCCTCAGGCAAGGGTGTCAGGGAGAACCCCTCTGAGAAAGGAGTCATGGGATCATGTAGGGCTTTTGCCAATGGTGAGGACTTTCTGGTCCCAGGAAAATGAAGTGGTGAGTTGTCAAGGGCACATCCCCCCAGTAGGAAACTGTTGAAATGCTCCTAAGAATGACTGGTTTACCGGGAAAGGGAAGAGCCACGTGAAGGGAAGTTAGTCACCTATCTTTGGGAGGGATTTGAGGTCACAGAATAAAAGACATATTCATAACTCAGAAGAGAATAGTTGGGTATTTTTGAAACCTTGGGATGTCAGACCACAAACGTTTGAAGTCTCAGGAAATGCATTCAGCACACAGTCACTCTTTCTTTGTGACTTGCCTTTGCTGTGTCCCATCTTCTGCTTTCCACCGTGACAGTAGTCCCAGTTCCCAGCAAGTCAGCTCACAGGTACTGAGATCTGCATTGCTGCAGATACAAATGAATGAATAAATGAAGGAACAAATAAATGAATAGGTGGCATAACAAGATCTTTCCTTCCTTTTCCAGTTACTCTTTACTGTCCATGAGACTTGTCCACTTCATCAGGGCTCTTGTGAAAGGACTGTTTTAACTCAAAAAAGTAGCTCTCAGAGTAGGGATTCTAGTCCACATGGTAGGACAGAGGAAAGGGTATGAGTGGGGATGGCTATAGCTCTGTTTCCCACTCGCCTAAGGCCAAAACGGGGCCTGACTCAGGTGTGCGGGAAGGTAGTTTTTCCATTTACCTGACAAACATTTAACGAATGCCTCCAGTGTGTCTGAAACTGTGCTGGGAACAAAAGGTAAAGACGATGTGGACCCTGACAGCGAGGAGCACACACTCACTTGCCAAGGACTGGGATGTGGGTGTGGAACTCGAGTCAGCAGGGCTGATGCTGGCCATGACCTCAGACTCACTGACTGACCTTGGGCAAGTCACTTGGCCTCTCTGGGCCTGTTTTCTGGTGTGTAAAGTGAGAGTCCACACCAGGTCCCCCTCCCCCTCGTTATGAGGATAAAGGAGGCCATAGACACAGGTGTCCCAGTCTAATCAGATGTGGTGAGTGGTATTTGCCCAGGACTCAAACCCCGAATCCTACCCACCTCCAGGAGGTCAGAAGAATAAACACACGCGGTTCAGGACTGGGAAAATATACACTGTAGTTGGCCCAACTCTTTTGCAAATACCCCAGCCCTGGGCCACTTGGGCTGGCCTGGACCACACAGGGCCTCCCTGTCCTTGGCGCCTCTGATCAAGCCTCCAAGTGGCTGACAGTGGCTCTGGCTCTTTTCCCAAAGCCCAGCCTCTCTTGCCACTCTCTGAGGGGGAGGCCCCAGGCCAAGAGCAGAGCTGCTCTAGTCTCCCCTGTGCGGGTCCATTCAGGGGGAGGCGTTCTCTCACGAACACCCTGGAAACCCCACAGAGGACAGCATTCCCGAAGACTTTCCACAAAGGCTGAGCCTAAACCCTGCCACGTTGTGCCCCCAAAGCCCACCATGTACCACGTGGTCTCCGTGCTCCAGGCCCAGAGCAGTCCTTCTAATAGCTTTCCATCTAATAGCTGAGCATCTCCTAACACTCGGCTGGAAACACAGGCTGGTGAGCCTCCACGGAGTGTTCTGACTCAGGGGGTGAGGGATGAGTCCATTGTTGGGCTTTTCACAGTCGACTTCTCCAGGAGATTCTGAAACACAGGCAGAGGGGGGACCACCGGATCAGATGCTCTAGAGCAGTGGTTCTCAACCTTCCTAATGCCGCAACCCTTTAATACATTTCCTCATGTTGTGGAGACCCCCAATTTCATTGTTACAAATTGAATATAATTAAAGCATAGTGATTAATCACAAAAACAATATGTAATTATATATGTGTTTCCTGATGGTCATAGGAGACTCTTGTGAAAGGGTCGTTTGACCCCCAAAGGGGTCGCGACCCACAGGTTGAGAACCGCTGCTCTAGAGAAACCAGGCCTGGATTGCCTGGTCAGGCCATGGCAAATGTGTTTCTAAGCAGCCTTGATACCCCTTCCCAATGTCTCCTTCAGAGTTTTCAAAGATAGTTGAGGCTCCTTCTAGTGCCCCCAGTCTTTGCAAAGTTCCAAACCTTTCTGATCATGCATCTCTATTAGTACAGAAATTGCGAGCATGACCCTCATCATATATACACATGGTCTGTGGAACTGCTACGTACATTATAACATACACCAAAAAATAGAAAAGGATAAAGGACGGGTAAAAATTAATATACACAGAACTTCTACTACCTTCTTTAGTTTATTTTTTTCTAACAGCACTGGAGTGTGTCACCCCATTAGGAGCAAGGATTGAGGGAAGTGGGACTAAAGATACTGGGGAGGCCGTCAGGGCTGAGCAGTGATTTAGGCCTGGCTATTTTGGGGAGAGAAAGAGTAACTGTGCCTGACGCACTCAATGCATCTGAAAACTTCTCTTTCCTTTCCCCACTCTTGTGTGAGGGAAAAGCTTGAGACGAGAAACGTGGGTTCCTGCCTACCGGGAGACCTCTCAGGACGACATCCTGGCAAGTTTGCCTCCAGCTGGGACTGCACTGGGCACCAATGAGTGTGCCCGAGGGGCTGAGACTTTGCAGGGCTGACGGATGCCCCCTGAACTCACAAGAGACTAATATATAAACCAGGCTACACAACTATTTATTCGTAGAAACAGTGGAAGGTAGGGGTGGGGCGGAGGCTCCTTCTGGTGCTCCCAGTCTTTGCAAAGTTGACACCAGAAGATCCAGAAACACAGCGCGGTCACTAGAACATCATTGGTGATCACGTCATCCGAGTAGAGTAATTGGTGAGGAAGGATCCTTGATGGTGGCCTGCGCAACCACCACTGTCCTGTGGTCCCACCTGCCTGGTGAGGGGAGGGTCACTCCTCAGTCCCCACAGGTAGAGCTGGCTAAGGCCTGAGACCCTCCTGCTTTTCTGTAGTGTTTCCTGCCATGTGGGTTGGCCATCTGCTTTCTGTTCACTGACTTCCAATTGCAGAGTGCAGTGAAATTGATTAGCCTGTGCCTATTCATTAGCAAAATGTCAGGGCCCTATCTCTCAGGACACACCCAGGCCACCTTAGTCTACGCTCTGGGCTGGTGAGTCCTACAGCAGCGATGAACACGTTCGCCCACTCTTCTCTCCAAGCAGTGCTAGCTTTCTCATCTCCAAGTTCTGAGAGGGCTGCTTCTGGTCACCTCATGGGCCGTCAGCACCCCAGCTCACACTGTCTCTTCCACGCCGGAAGGTTCTCCCCTGCACCCCCCTCCATGTTTGTTTTCTATGAGAGCCCTCTGCTAGGGTAGGGAGAAGGGGGTGACAAGGCCTCGTGCATTTTTGTACAAACTCTGGTAGGAACAGTCTTACCTCCAACTCTTCCAGATTTTGAGAACTTTAAGGAAGTCGCTCTCAAGAATTGATCCCCCTCCAGGAGTCTATTTTAGGAAAGTTAAACTAAACATATTTAGACCTTGCCAAAGGGGCAAGCTGCTAGGACCTGGGGAGCCTTCTGTAGGCCCAGCCCTCATTTCTAAACTTCTGCTCCTTAAGTGGAGGCAACTGTAACCAGCCTCAGACTGGGCTGGGAGGGACAGCTGAGCCCCACCTGCAGGCGAGCAAGGCCCTGGGATGACCACAGACACCCACAGACCTCTGGGTGGTCCGTGATCTCTGTTCTTGGTGGTTCCAGCATGGCGGTGGCTCACTTCCTCTAGATCAGTGGTTCTCAACCTTCCTAATGCTGCGACCCTTTAGTATACTTCCTCATGTTGTGGTGACCCTCAATTTCATTGTTATAAAATGAACATAATTAAAGCATAGTGATTAATCACAAAAACAATATGTAATTATACATGTGTTTTCTGATGGTCTTAGGTGACCCTTGTGAAAGGGTCGTTCAACCCTCAAAGGGGTCGCGACCCACAGGTTGAGAACCGCTGCTCTAGATAAACCGTCTTAACCATCCATGTGATGGGTGGGGCAGAGCGCTTATTGGATTTACAAAGGAGAATCATTTGGCATGCTTAACCCCAGAGCCCTTCCTGAAAGGACTTTCTGGTGGGCAAAGATGAAACTATCACAAATGGAAGTAAAATTGGTCAAAGTCATTGAGGTTGTAAGCAACTTGAGGGCAGGGAGGGCTTCTTTAAATATAGGGATAGCTAAATTTTAGTGATCATTCATTATGTAGCCAATACCATTTATTTGGAGGGTTTACCATGTGTTAATCCTTATGATGACGTTTCCAGTTGTTATTATTAGTAGTAACATTTTATTTTTATTTCAATATTTTATATTATATTAGTATTTGTATAGTCCTCATTTCTACCAATAAAAAGGTTAAATAATTTGCCCAAGGCCACACTGCTAGCAATTGGTAGCATCGGGATTTGAACCCAGGCCTTAGTTACTGTCCCTGTTGTGATTTGAACACAGCCCCCAGATTCTCTACTGCTTTTGACCCTAGCTCCCCTTTCCCCACTGTAAATATTTATTGAATAGCTAAGTGACTGCAATAAACTAAGCCATTTGGTGTGGCTGTTTTTAAAGATTTTTAATTGATTTTTAGAAAGGAAAGGAGGGAAGAGAAAGAGACACATGGATTTGAGAGCAATACATTGATCAGCTGCCTCCTGCACTCCCACTACCAGGGATTGAGCCTATAACCTGGGCATATGCCCTGACTAGAATCGAACCTGCCACCTTTCAGTCACAGGATGGCACCCACCAACTGAGCCACACTGGCCAGGGCAAACTCAGTAATTTAAATAAACAAATGATTAAAGTTGAAAAATAAGCATAAACCCAGTTCATAAGAGTAAACTGCCAGAAATATTTATGGATTTTTATCTGAACTGGAACACAAATAGTACTCTGCCAAAGGAGAAGTTAGAATGAGGCGTGGCGACACCCATCCCAAGAAGTGGGGGTTACTAAAACACTCCAAAACTTTATAAAAGATGGTCATTCTTTAGAAACCATCCCATACTAAATGGGAGGTCTTGGACTGGATCCTGTTATGAAAAAAACACTAGCAGAAAAACTGCTGAAATCCTAGTAAAGTCTGGACTATAGTTATTAGTCACCTACCCATGTGGGTTTCTCAGTTTTGACAAACATATGTGATTTCTGTAAGATCTGAACATTAGGGGACACGGAGTGAAGGGTATCCAGGAACTTTCTGCACTATCTTGGCTATATTTCCCCACATGTAAAATTATTCTAAAATAAAAACTTTATTTAATATAATGCTGGGGTGGGGATGGGGTGGAGGGGCTTCATGGGGAAAGAGAGGGGGTCATCTGTAATACTTTCAACAATAAAGATACAAAAAACCCCATAATGCCCTAGTAAGCCCTTAAGAATAAGTTGATGGTAAGTCATGGGTCCAAGGGTGAGAATGTAACCCAGAGCGAGGGTTGCAAACTCAAACACGTGCGAGGGCCCAACAAGCAGGCAGGTTCGGGGGTGGTAGGCATGTTCCCTCTAAAGGGACAGCCGCCACCAGGCTGCAGCTGACGATTGCCGGGCAGGCATTTGGGCCTGATCTCCTCATTTTTTCAGAAGAAGCTGGAAATCTGGACATCATTTCTAAAGTCTCCTTAGCAATTAAAGGTGGCTTCAGTAACAAAAATCACTTCCTACAGCTCATGTTGCCACTGTGCAACCTCGGAGCGAGAGGGCTTTAAAGCCCTCCTGGCAATTCTAAACAACAACAATAAAAAACTCTTGAAATGGTCTCTCCGTGGGAGACCTTCCTGTTTGCTTAGCTAAGTTCGTGCTGTGTGGGCGGCCTGAGGGCAGCAGAGCATGTGAGCCGTGGCACAGGCCAACCGCATATCCAGGCCTGTGTCTCAGGCTCCCACTCCTTGGCTGCTCTTTTTCTTTTTTAAAAAAATATGTTTATTGATTTCTTTACAGAGAGGAAGGAAGAGGGATAGAGAGTTAGAAACACTGATGAGAAACATCCATCAGCTGCCTGCGGCACACTCCCCCCACTGGGGATGTGCCCGCAACCAAGGTACATGCCCCTGACCGGAATCGAACCTGGGACCCTTCAGTCCCCAGGCCAACGCTCTATCCACTGAGCCAAACCAGTCAGGGCATCCTTGGCCGCTCTTGATGGTCAAGCCCGAGGGACACGCAGTCCAGGCGCCTGGGTGGGGTCTCTCTTTCTGGGTGACTCCTGCTCAGCTCGTACTGGCTTTAGGTGCTTTTAGGGCACAAAGGAGAGCGGTGTTATTTCCTTGATGACATTGCATTTGAACGGCCCTCAGAGACACAGGATTCATGGTAAGCACTGTTCTCTCTTGGGCAGAGATACACCTTCTGGCAGACACTGCCCATTAGCTGCTGCCAATCCTCCATGGTCCTACATCTTTAATTCCATGGGGTCTGGGGAAATCTAGTCTAGACCTTTAAGAAAGGGAGTTGGGCTAAAAAAAATCATTAAAATTGAGCTCTTTGCCCCCCGTAGGTATAAAACAGTAGCTTTGTTTGTGCCTGAATATGAATCACGGTGCTAATGGAGTCAGCTTCACATCAAGAAGCGGCTCAGTGGTAAAGAGCAGTTGTTCCCAAAGGTGGGTCCTGAAAAACTCACATTCCCGGGACCCAGACTCCAGAGGTCTTGCTTCAGAGCCCCGTCCCTGGGACCAGGAGGATGTGTATGTGTAGACATAGGTCTGCAGGGAATTCTGATAGTCAGATAGCCGTGCTTGGAAAGCACCGATATGTGAGATAGGAGGGTGGGCCCCAGCTGTGCGCTTTGCACGTGGGTGGTACAAAGGAATGTTTGTCTTTTTCGTGTACAGTTTATACAACAGGGAGCTTCCACACAGCACTTTTTACGAGGAGGATCAGTTTCTCATTTCCTCGGCGTCACCGGGGTTCCGGGGCAGCATGGGGACTGGGGTGGAGCTGTGTGGAGTGAGCAGGGCCTGAGTGTGAAGTCAAAAGCCCTGCTTCCAGGCAGGTATTTGGCACTTCGTGGCTCTGTGACCCAGGAAAGCACTGACATCAGAAGTCCTGAATAGAGAAAGAGACAGAGGCACCACCAGCTCGCCAGGTAATAGGACGTTTGTCAAAGCTAGTAGAGGTGAAGGGTCCAGGGTGATAGCTGTGTGCATGGCAATCTACCATCAGGCAAAATGTAGACATATCTGTAGGTGTGTCGTAATCCATATAGGGGAATTCATTCATTCATTCATTCATTCATTCATTCAATTCGTGTTTTCTGCTGTGCATCTGCCATGAGCCAAATGTTCAGATGCACCAATGAACAAGACCACGCTCGCCCTTAAGGCAGTCAATGTGTAGCCAAGAAAACCAACTGGAAAACCAACTGTTTATTAACATGATAACAGCTACAATAAAGGCACGCACCGAAGAGCAGGAAATGTTGCCTATTCCCAACATGGCCCTCATGATAGTAATTTGGTTATCATTGCAGGTTGGCAAAATCAACGCTGGTTCTCATCCCTTTATTGGGTGTTCACGAGATTCTCTTCTCTTTTGTAAC